ACAGAAAGCACGGCCAAAGTCGCGTCAGCGAGGCAAGTGCTACTGACGGAAGTATACCACCGCTTAGAAGATGAGATGGTTTGACTGTCAACTGTGACCTCCCAAGGCTTTCTCAGGATGATATCTGGACCAGGACTCTGGACATTAATCGCGCTACTGGTGACCCGTCCCCCACAAATACAATGTCAGCCCGAGGACTTGCTGAGGGAGAAGTAGGCGATAACCTATTCCTTCATAGGAAATATTTATTTGATATGGTGATAGTTAGTGGCTCGAGCATGACCTTCTGAAAGTTATTCGTTTCTAAACTTAATTAAAAGCGATTATGCTAGCCAATATCACGGTAATATGAAAAGCTCTGCCATTTATGCCACATATGCTACCCGATTTATACGGCTTAAAATGTCTCTTCTTAATTTTCTTTCTGCATTTAGTCGAATTTTTTAGCCCGCTAGTTTCAGACGTACTGCAACCTCTTACGCTAGCATAATATGATTGTCCTTTAAGTTGATACAACAATTACTCATTTGTTCCAATAATATACAAGCGAATAGCCCTTTAGTTACCAACAAGTTCAGCTGTTAGATCAAAAAATCTTCTACACATTTGTACGTTTTGTTGCATTTTTGGAAATTAACGTGCCTTCTGCACCTTCTTCACGCGCATGCATTTCCAGTTTTTTCCTACAAACATCTATAATTTTATCTATATTTTGAACCTTTAAAGCTATATCTTTTCCAATGATCGTAATGAAGTTTCTGTTTTCGTTACAAATTATTTTTAACTATTATATTTATATTGCAGTCCACTATGCCAATAACCATTTTATTTCCCCTTTATATCAATCTTTAAAGTGCCCACACTGCGCCTGAATTCACAAAAGCATATTCCACTAAGTCATTAAATGCTAAGAACCACATTTTTTTTTCTTTAGTTCCAAAATGTGGTCCAACAAGCTTTACGAAAACCTACAGCAACTGCGGGAGTTCACTGGAGCAGATCAACTACAAAAGGTATGAGCATGAATATAAGATATTGCTCATAAATCGGCTTCCGGATCAGCCCCTGAATGTTCTTTTTCACACCTGAATTTCTATTATTATCTATTGGCCAGAAAATACTTATTTTTATCCTTAATACCGGCTGCAGATGTACCAGAACCCAACTTTTCAAATTCAAGAGGTTACGGATGCATTCTCACAACAGCTTTTAAACGAGGCTCTCGAAAAGGTTGTCAGCAACTTGAAGAGGAAAGAAAAAATTCTCCAAGTATGTTATCCTCCAGATGCTCAGTTTCAACCGATGAATTTCTTTATTGTTTTTTCTCTAGTTTGACGGATTCGTCTGCCAAAATAGAGCTCTGCAGATTGCATAGTACATTAAAATAAAAGGAATGTCAATTTCTCTTGAAAAAAACGGGCTGTATATTTTGTTTCTGAACATATTTCTTTCTTAAGTGCTCGGCCAAAGGATTTACGTAAGGGGATAGTGTTAATCACTGTAAGTGGACGTACAAATTGTTTTTGCAATCCTCGAAAATCTCTATGGGCTCGTGTTTAACTAACTACCGTAACGATGCTCCAACTCGTCCGTAATCGATATATCTGATTATGCTCATGCCTCTTGTACAGATGTTATTTTTCTTGGAGCTGTATTGCGACTCAAACTAGAGGATATTACCTAAGACGCGCATTGGGTTAGCTTTGACTGGCAGATATGACCTGCTCAAAACAACGAATTTTTACTCCTGGTAACCAGCCGATATTTCAGTTTGCTTTAGCTTAAAAGTCATTATTTTGGCAATGTCCACTTCTTTTCACTCGGGCTGTAAATTCGATGTGCGCGTCTCCAAAGTGCGTATTTACTGCAATAATTTTTGGTTCGATTGTGTAGCCATGGCTCTTATAGCGTTTTATCTTCTTCGGTCCCTGAACTAGCCCTAGAAAATGTATGTCAATACAGAAGCGGTTAAGCAGCTATAAAAGGTAGCCTGTCAGTCCTTCCCATGGAAACTTAGTTAATTAAGCGAAACGGTTGCAGACTCAATGTCAACTTTTATTTATAGTCCTGGCCTTTTGGAATTAGTGTTTAAATCCAATGTCATTCTTAACGTAAAACTCTGCCCTCTACATACTTTGCCTCTTGTCTTTTTTAATCACAAATAGCTCCTAATTCAAGACTATGAAGTCAAATAAGTTATACCTTTTGTACACGGGAAGGCACAACTTACAATTGCTGGAGGTGGTTAATTTCAACGTCTTCCTTATGCAATCAATTACTGCTATACAAATGTTTTTGCATAGACGCAATTCCAGAGTAAGTAGCTGATCATGATTTATTTTTAGCATCTTCGAGAATCCGTTGAAGAAGAACACGTCAGCTATGTTCCTTCTGACACTGAGGAGGTAAGCAGTTGAATTACGACCTTTTGATGGTCGCGAAAATATTTTGAATTACCTCCCTTACTACTTTGTTTGCCATTCCGAACTTACGATCATCAGTTAGCCAAATAGGTGTCATCATATTTAATCGTTTAACTTCTTAAGCGAAACTTTTTAAGGCCAGGTTAAATATTAATGTGTCCTATTGTGGTCGCAGCCGATTATCGTTAGGGGTCAGTCCTTGGACTATTAAGTTTACATATAATTCGTATAGTTCGAATATCCTATGCACCTCTATCTGACGAGAAACGCTTCTGAATGCCATTCAAATTGCTGCATTCTAGTGCTACATTCGCTCCAAGGCCATCAGCCTCTTGCCCCCGGTGCCCGTCGAGAACGACACACGACCAATCCTTTGTAATGAGAGCCAGTACTTGCCACTTACCTCAGATCCCCTCTTCCACGACCTTTATGTAAGCGTCAATACCTCGGCTGCGCACGTACCTACAAATGTCTACGACCTTTGTAAGTATCATTTTTGTTTTGCATATATTCCATTTTTATTTGAAATAATCCACCTTGCGACGGTCCAAACTTCAAACACCTCCAAAGGAGCCATTATTTTGTCAAAAATAATCTTTCGCAGAGTATAACACCCTTCGGATGCTATAGTTCTTCCTACGCTAACAATCAGTCGGTAACGATTACTATTTTCAGGTCCTGGTCCCGTGTGCTAGGGCATGAAGTGGGAAGCCAGAGTGGAAGGAATTGCTTATTCTGTACAGAAGAAGTGGATAAAAAGTAGGAGAAAGTTTACTATCAGACAAGCATAGGTCTGCACCCGAGGAGGGCAGAATTCGATGTCTGAGGCTGACGGTAGTCATCTCAGCAGCCACAGAGAACGGCCGTTTTCCGAGTTAGCCTTGAAGGGGATTGGCTAGACCGGGAAGGCCTACAAGTGCGACCGTGCGAGACAGGCATGCGGCTTGCCCCAGAGGCAAGCTGAGGACTACGATCACGTGACTTCATGTATGGCGTTGCGCGGGGGGTCACTACAGGACGTCCGTCCAAAGTGATATATAGTTGTTCATGGCAAAACTCTAAATAGCGAAGCATCTGTCTATCTATGCAAAGCTGCTCAAACAATTTCCTAAGGGTCACAAGTTCTCCTTCCTAACAATTTCTAACCATGTGCCTTGGTACATTATCTTAGAAAACGTCCCCTGATGACTCAAATATTAAGTCTTCTTCTCGCCGTCGAGAGTCAACTTATTACCACAAACACAACTTAATATGCGAAAATATTCGCGGTCCAGAGATAATTTTACCTTCATTTT